TTGAATCTATGCAGTTTAGACTAACCTGCGAAGATTAAATCAATTCAGCCTTGGGCTTTTTGATTGTCTGTACTTAGCCAAGGAGACTGTACAAGAGGGTAAAGGAGAGAATTAAGGACCACTATTATTTCTCGCTGATCTAAACACCAGTGACACCACAATGCAGGAAGTCCACAATTGCTACACTAACCAATAAAGCATACAACATTTGAACAAAAAAAAAGGGGGGGGGGGGGGGGGGGAGGGGCATTCTCCATCAAATTGGATATTTCTCATTTTAGTAATTGCAGAGATGAGTAATTAAACATGCTACTTCATAAGGATTACAACAGATTCTTGAAGTGATGCATAGTAGACAGGAAAACCCTATATGGGTTTCAGAAGATGAGTCACTCATTAATATAGCACTATGGCATTTTTAAGCCATGCTAGGTCCCTGGAGAACAACGTCTGGGCAGCTACAGAGGAAAGAGGAGAATAGGACAGTGAGATATGAGTTTTGTGGTTTTAGAATGTAAGAATTGCTAAACTGAATCAGACCTAATGTCCATCTAGGTCCAGTCCTCAACCTCCAACCATGGCCAATGCTTCAGAGGAAGGTGCAAAAATCCTCCAAGAGGAGTGTTTCTTTACCAATTGGCAAGAACACAATGAGGCAAAAATCATCTCTGATGAAATGTGGGGGGGGGGGGGGGGAGGGGGAGAAAACTATTACAGAGAGAAGTGTTAAGGAACCTGTGTCAAATATTTGTAATAGGCTGGGGAAGTCTTGGAGGCTGCATTTATTTAAGCAAGTCTACTAAGGTTTACCATACTCTAAATGTTTTATTTGCTATCTTTGGACCATAGTTGCTTATTTGTCTCTAAGCTAAATACTAAATTGTTATTAGAAAAGTTGGATTTTAAAAAGTGGATATCATAGCAAGAAAAAAATATCCTCACAGTGTTTATGCCCTGTAACTTAGAATGCTCTGGACTTTCTCTCTTTCTCTAGAATAAAAGCATCTATTTTAAACTGACAGAACAAAAGAACAATTAATTCTGAGTTTGTGACATGCCTCCGTTTCAAAGAACACAAACATTCCCTCTTACCCCACAACAAGCAGAAGCTAAATTAGGACTCTCTCTCAACTCTGCAAATGTGGTTATAGCCTGAAAAATGTCAATGTAAAAAGGGTTATTGAACCACTGAGCAGTCTTTATGGATCTCTGGGATTCTATATCAAATCTACTAAGAGATTTTTTAATCAGCAACCTTACATCTCAGATACCCTGGCATCTCAAAGACTGTCACACAATTTACTGCATGTATGACTGTCTGTAAACCAAATTCTGCTTTTGGTCACACTTGGGCAATCCCTTTAGTTTCAAAATCTGCCCTTGGTTACATCTGAGTGATCCTTTTGCCTGCAGATGGCCCTCACGACAACTGTGTGACTCCAAATGAGCTGCATAGGTGTCATTGTGGAAAGAACCTGGCTTTTAAACTGGAATCTTATTAAACAAATTAAATGGATACTCACTCTGCCATTGGTTTGGACCTGCAGAGCTCCCTAGAGTCAATGCTCAGCTTTGTCACTAAAGAGAGCTGACACTAATTACGAAGAAGAGACTAAGGGAATGAAGTGCCAGTTTTACAGCCTCCTTCCAGGCATGAAGAATTCTTGAGGAATCATTTCTACCTTAGGAGACTAACACTCACTGTATAATGTATGGATTTTCCATGGTGCTAAGAGGAGTTTTCACATGCCTATACAACCATTACAACTGTGTTGACTTGTAAGCCTGAATGTAGGGTTTCAGTGCTGTGAAGGAACTTGAGCTACCTCTTCACCATAGGGCAAATTCTACTGCCTTGGGTGAATTTTCCTAAACTGGAAATCATGAAACTTGGATTACAACATTCAGTTACTTAATGGGCACAGGCTAGCCATAATCTGGTTTGGGCAAAACATATTTATACAAGTGAAACCAGCCTTTATACCAGTATAAACAGAGCAGAGAGATAGCAGAGACCTCTGCACTGATGCAAGTGCCTTGAATCCAGACTAAAGTTATCCCAGGAAAAATATGCACTAAAAAGACAATGATACAAGTTACACTAGTACAGGCATCAGCTGTTTCTGCGATTTACAGTGGTGTACAAAGCCAATGCAGATAATTCCAGTGTAAATGTGTTCAGGCCCTAAAAAGTAACAACAATCAACTTGGAAACAGAGACTATCAAATTCTCTTTTCATGAATGCATGATTAAGTCAGGACAGGATTTTGATTGTACCCACCAAATATAATGAGGTGATGATACCAACAAAGAATCATAGATAGATGGTTGATGTTTTAAAGTGAGATCTTGGCTACTGTTCTGTGCCCTATCAGTGCATCAAGGACCCAGTTCACATTGGATGGAAATCCAGTGGAGTTCCAAAAATATTAAATTGGACCCCAGATGCATTGTGCAGGTGGCACAGTTGCCCTCTGTGAAAGAGGGCGCTGACTGCACCTCCTCATGAATTCACTCTATTTATGTTAGATGTTTTATGAAGAAGTAATAAGAGCAGCCTCAAAAGCCACATTCCACCCTGCCAGCCAGATTGGGTAAGTGCCCTGACGGCAGGGGCAGCTGTTACCTTGCCGGAAAAAGGGATGAGCTTGGCCATTTTATTGATGCCTGAGAGCTCAAGCCAGCAAAAATAAAATTAATCCCCAAACTCCTGATGAAGCTCAAGTTTCAACTTCCTCCATTAAACAGCAATAACAACAGATGAAGAGCTATGTCAAAGCCTGCCATTTGCGTGTACAAATAAGTAAATACAAGTTTTCAGCTGTTTAGGCTGCTTTAATATATATTTTTTTCATTCATTTGAACATATATTTTCACTGTTTTCCTCTCAGTAAATGCTTACACCCCTTTTTAGAAGAAAATAAGAACAATTATGGTTTGCATGGAGAAAGAAAAAACAATAAAGTTAGACAACATAAGTTTTTCCAAATCAAACTAAAGTGTTTCTGAACATTGGACAAATATGGGCAGCATATGTACAGGAAGCAGCTCAGTCTGACACAGTTGTATGTTACAGAAATTACAGAGGTAACGAAACATCATATTAACCCTGAGTTCTGGACCTCTAGATGAGGCCTGTGCGAAGCAACCGGTATTCAATTCAGATTCGGCCAATTCAGAGGACAGGGATTTGATCCGGTGATTCAGATCACTGTCCGGAATGGATTTGGTCGAATCAGATTCTAAATATTTGGCACTGATTCGGTGTGATTCGGCCATAGACTATAATGAGGAATCACTAAAATACCTATAACTTCGCCATTTTTTTGCAGAATTGGATGAAAACAGCAGGGATGGTAGCCATTTCTGAGGGCATGAAACCTGCCAAGTTTCAAGGAGATAGATGCAGGGGTTTCAGTGAAAGTACACCTCAAACTGTTGAAAGCAAAACTCATATCACTTGTGTTGTAAGGCAGAGTGGAATGAAAGTAGCAGAGATGGTAATCCCTTCTGAGGGCATGAAGCCTGCCAAGTTTCAAGGAGTTAGGTTCAGGAGCTTTTATGAAAGTGCACCTCAAACTGTTGAAAGCAAAACTCTTTATCACTTGTGTGTGTTAGCTGGGTTTCTGGTTGTAGCCATATTGGTCGAAGGAGCAGACAGGCAAGGTTCCTTGAGCAGATACAATATCTTTTATTAGACCAACTGAATAGTTGGAGAAATATATCTTGGCAAGCGTTTGGATTTAAAAACCCTTCATCAGGCTGAGAAAGCATCTGCAGTTGGTGTGTGTGCTCTTCCTGGATGAAATGAATAGTAAAGAAGCCAGAGGCTGGGCTGCAAGCAAGAAGGCTAGTCAGTGAAAATCTAAATTGAGGCATCAGGGGCTGACAGACAGGCATGGGAGGAGGGAAGGGGGATGTAGCAGGTAAAAGTGGAGAGGTACCTGGGGAGTCAGATGTCAAGCAGGTTATAGTGTGTCACAAATCCAATGCCTATATTGAGTCCGTGAGTTTTTGTAACGTGTATCAACGGAGGTTGATGATGTGAAGTTCATAGGCTCATCTGTGAAAAGTGTATTGGAAATTCAAACGAGTACTGAACCTCGCTAACCTCATCACCAGAAGCAAACTTCCTACAGCCCAAAACACACCAAATGGATCCAGACCACGCCATGACAAGAAATGCAAAACCTGCCAACATATCTCCAGTACCCCCACAATTACTATACTCCACAACAGAACCATCACCGTTCCAATTTTAGGTCATGCTCAGGACCTAGGACTGCTTCCTTCCCCATAGCCCCAGTCCATATCTCCAAGTTTGTCCTGGCATGGGACCTCAGGAGGGAGAAGTTCTTCCCCTGCTGACTGATGAAAAAACTTCCCCCACCAGCTCTGAGAGCAGGGCATTAAATGGTTGTGAAAGCTACTAACAAAAAGAAATGGGTGCGGAGTGAGGAGGGTGGCACTCACTCCATCTGCAGGTGAAGCTTGGGGAACCCCAGCAGTGGGAGGTTCACCTTCAGGAACACAAGCTGCTCCACCAAACCAGGATTCAAGGTGGTGCAGTGGGGTGTCACTACATCACCAGCAATGCTGAACACCCTCTCGTTTGGAACACTGGTCGGTGGACAGGAAAGGTGTTCCCAGGCAACTGTGGCCAGATCCTGCCACATCTGGCTATGGGTTGTCCAACAGGCTAAGGGGTCACATTGCAGCGTCTCCAGATCCTTGGCAAAATAGGTAGCCACAAAGGCCTCTACACTATCTGCCAGATGGTGGGGTCTGGTGCCTCTGGCAGAGAAAAGCTTCACACAGGGCCTTATATGCTGTTTCTATGTCAGTCCCACAGAGCACTGTGATTGGGAGGGAACTCAGGGAAAGGTCACGGTCACTGGCCAGCTACAGATGTCAATATCAGAGCTGTCTTTGCCCTGCTCCTCTGTTTCTGTTTCCCCACAAAACTGCCTTCTGAATCACCAAATCTTTTCTGAATTAATTCAAAATTGATTCAGAGCTTTTAATGGGTCTCCCAATTCGATGATTCAGCCGCTGAATTGGGCCAAATCTTCTCCAAATCAAATCAGCAACTGAAGCTTTGCACATCCCTACTCTAGATCTTGCATACTGCGGTAGTTAAATGGATACTTACTAGGGCTGTGTGAAGCTTCAGTCCCTGATTCAATTTGGTGAAGATTTGGCCTGATTTGGTGGCCAAATCTATGAATCTGAATAGAATCAGAACCAGAACCTTTAATCTCTCTGAATCGAATCAGAACCCTCCAAATCGATTCGGAGAGATTCGGAGATTTGTAAGAATACAGTACAACTGTAGATTTGTAAGACTATACTACAACTGTAGTTTGGACAAGGTTTCATATATCCAAAAGACTTTTCCATGTTAGTAAACTCTGGGGCACAGGAGCCATTTTTCAAGTTTCAGATTATTAAAATTGCACAACCGCAAAATAGATTTTTGCATGTCACTATCTCAGTAACTATGAAACATATATAGGCTGGTCTCTGACAGCTGCCATAGTACTGAGGCTTTATAAAATTAATTTCTCTGATAATGGTATGAATAAAATAACAATTCAGAATGGTTTGAATGCAGGAGAAATCAGGTGTTTTAGCCTTATTTCTGAAATGTATTTTGTTTGTCCATTGAAAGATCATTTTCCATGTATACAAATGCACAGTGAATTTTCCCAGTCTTACTGTTTTTTTTCAGATCATCAAGATGTCAGATTCTATTTCATCATTAATCTTCCTTTTTCAAAAATATATTTAAGACTAAGGACTTTTCTTTCTAACTAGATTATAAGAATATATTTATATTACATTGGAGCTACCTAGATGAGACATTCCTGTATGGTCACTTGGGAAAAAATGCAAACTTGAATGCGGAGATTTTTCATAGTGGTACAAACAAGAGAACACTTTATAAACATCTCATGCTGAGAGCTAGCTATTTCAATACATCTTCATTCAAAACCATAATGCATGAGTGGGGATTGCACTCTGCCCTAGGTAGATCTTATAGTGCTTCTATTTCTATGGAATACCAGAGGATATATCAGCTTAGCTGGCCAAACAAATTGATGTGACTTACATAACCAGGGATTCTATCTTAACTGAAGGAAGACAACGTAATTATTGGATATACTGATCTTCCTGATACACTGAGGAAAGAATGGTTGGACAAATCCAAAGCAATGCATGGATCACTTAAAAAAAAAAACTAGACTTAAGATGGAAAATAATGTTGTTATTATTATTATCATTTACTTAGACCAAGATGAAAAACAATAAATTTGATTTGGGATAGTAACATACTTTGGTATTTTAAAATTCTGCTTTTCACAACCATAACTTTTCTCAGTGGTTTTCCAGTGATGCTCTGTGCAGAACTAGTCATCTGTGGAGCCCTTCTGGGTGCTACAAAGTATAAAACTGAAAGACTCACCAAGCAGATTTGAGATTAGGGCTTTATTGAGCCCCAGGGAAGTACTGAATGACAGCATCTAAGAATGACAAGAGTTAGAGAAACTCTTTCTACAGCCTTTATCGAGCCAAAGACCCTTCTCTAAAAGAGTTATTATGTAATGGCTCCCTTTATAAATGTTTGAATCCCCAACCCTGTTCTTCCTTGCCAGGTAAGGCTCAAACAATGTTTTATCCACAGTGCAGAAACATGCTAAAATACTGGTCTTAACAGAGCTTTAATAAGATTTAAAACTGTTGCTCCCATCTGCACAGACAGAAACCCTGCTATTATCATATGATAAGGGGCATGTTATAAACACAATCTGTGACACAGTAAAAAAATTGGTGTAGGTGGATTTTTAATTACTCACCCACCTCATCTTCTACCCCAGCTCCTTTAAATAACAATGTAATTTAATTACCTGCTGTAAGAAAATATTATCATAATCTGAATATTAACTATTTATAAAATGACACTACTTCTTTGGAAGAAAAGACAATATTATTTAGGCAGGTCTATTGACGATACAATGAAAATGGACAAATGAAAACACACTGGAAGTTATTTAAGTGGCTAAATGTATGCCAGCTATATTTAGTAACTGAAAAAATAGAAACTGGGCATTTAAATATAACCACGTTGCTCTAGTTAGGTCCTGCATACAATAAATATGGAAATATGAGGAGACTCGCACCCACAACAGAACTGCTTTTCAGGTTAAGATAATGTTCCATTCATATCAAAGATGAGAGTTATATTTGTAACTGTCAGAATATATAAAAAATCAAGTGACAGATAAAAGACAGCAATACAGATCTAAGTAGGCCATCTTCCGCTTCATTCACTTGGCTTTCAAACTGTTTCATCATCACTCATGTCCCAGATCTGTAATGAGAAAGCAAACAAAATTTCACTTGGTTGAACTTGAATATGCTTTTAATATAGCTTATGTAATCACTAATCTAATTGAAAAGGGAGGAATCTATTTAACTGGTGGACTATCCCGTATAATAGTGGTTCCCAAACTGTGGTCTGCCAGGACATGGTAAGTCTATATAGATGGGCTGTGGATCATACCAGACCTTTGTAATCTTTTCCAGTTAAACGTGGTCTGTCACTCCACAAAGGTTGTGAACACTGCATGAGAGCTGTTGGGGAACTAACAATTCAATGGAATTCAGCAGTTGGTGGGTTACTGAGTCATTTACAGACCAACTGCTGTAGGTGAAAGCAAATTTTGATATTTTTAAATATCCCTCTAGTGTTTTAGACTGATACATTTCAGTGGATGTTTCAGGAATTGTCTGCTGTGGTTATTTGCTAGTCATCGTATGGTATGAATTAGAACATGGCTGCAAAACTGGCAGTGTATTGGCTGCATGTGACATGAGTGGTTAACATGTGGCCCATGGCCTTTGCAGCCACCTCTTCCACTGTTGTGCAGTGGAGGAGGGGTAAAGCAAAGGGAAAGGGGCATGTGGCATAGGATTATGTGCTACCGGCACTACCCAGAGGGGCAGAGGGCCAAGTACCACTCATGCAGCCTGGGGGTCTTCATGCCACTTGTATAGTCCACACATTAGAGAGGGATCCCAGGGGGCTGCCCTCTGTAGCATGTGGCCTGCACAATGTGCAGCCTGGGGGGTGCATGTTGGGGCCATGTATGGTCCCTTGCCATGCCAGAGTTGGACAGTTCTGAACCACAGCATACTACTGACACTCCTTATAATCTTTTTTCCTTATTGACTGCATGACATATTGTTATCAGGAAATACATAATTAGGAATAGTAGATAATGCACTTTTAGTACAAACTCTATGAATTTGTGAACAACATTATGAAAAAACAGTGGTTCTTCAAACATCTGAGGATAATCAATAGCATGATTCAACCAATTGCTGCAAACAACACAAGACAAAAATATATACAAATTTGTTTCTTTATCAGTGTTTTAACAGTTTTACAAGCCAGCCAGTAATTGGCATAAAAACATTATTTTGTGTAGTAAAATGCAATTGTACATTTACTTTGGTTCTAGGCTAAGATCATTAGACGTACCCTGGAAACCCAGCCTGGAAAACAAAGTTAATGTTTTCACAGGATCCCCAAGGAATCTGAAGTCCTAGGAGCCATACTAATTTAAAGCTAGGTCCATATATTCATTCAGTTGTCAGAACAAAGAATGCAATACTTTATATAAAACGCAAAAGTCTGTAAGTGCACCTGTTTGCATACACAGACTGTATGCATTCTCCAAGTGCAGACTGCATACATGCCTGTGCTTCTATGCAAATCCAGCTGACTTAATCACATTTGTGGCAATTCTGTGAAGAACTGCTCAGGCTCGATACATGCAAGTGCTCTTTGCATTCTTTCCGAAACAGTTCAGCATCAGACAATGGCATAAATGAAAGGGAAACCCCACAATAGAACATGCAGAAACAGTAGAAGTACAATAAGTCTGGGTGAAGGTTTAAAGACTTTTACTTCAAATACTTCTGTTTGATCAACTCTACTTATCACATTGGTCTGCTCCCTTTAACAGGCATCCTTACTGAAAGTTGCAATTAGACATGTGGAAAAGCAAGTTAATTTGCAAAAAAGGAGAAGGTAGTTAAATCATGTTAGCTTCAAGTCAGACAGAACATTAAATAATATTAAATTATACCTGAATAAAAATATTTTCTTCCCCAAGCTTTGCTCTTGAAGTTCAAATATGATGACTTTTAGATTTTTCCCCCAAAAAATTTAAAGTGAAGATGTAGATATTTTTTGACCAATAGCCAGTTGCAATGTGTAGTTCATACTCATTCCATTCAGTGTGGAGAACTTATGTCACTAAGTTACGTTAGGAATCATGCCTTGGAGTAGGCCTTTAAGGGAGAAAGCAACATTAAACGCAGATGGTCTGTGGCAACCTAGGGTACCAAGGGTGACATTGTGTAGCTGGAGGCTGCCACACAACGTTAGCACTAGTAAGTGTGCAAATATGATTCACAAGATAAACCCATATGTTTTAGATAGGAATCAAAAAGGTTAAAAATGTTGTGATCTAGTGTGGTCTAAGTTCTTTGCCACAGAAGAAATGCTCTATCATTTTTCCGTAGTGAAAAAAAGAGTACAAACGAAGCGTTGGCATTTCCTGAGGGATGATTCAAGTCTAAAAATGTTGATAACCACTGGGCTAGAATGACAGGATTGCTTTCATTGTTAAGCCAGCTAGAAATTAATTTAAAACTTGGAGCGTTCCTTGCTTGTCCCAACTAAATGCCTAGGGTAAACTACCATGCCAAGTCCCCCTGACTGTAAGAACAAGAGTAATGTGTTCATGGTATCAGCCCAATCATAGGTACAGTGGCCACTGACACATCCCCAGAATTCAGGACATCTTGGTGAGGGGTGGGACCTGCTCAGCGGATCAGCATCATGTGTGATGGCCAGAACCAAAGAGATTAATAAGCAATAAATATGTGCTTCTTGGAGGCATTTGGAATTTTTGCCTAATATAAAGCCTGTATTTTTGTAACCCGCAAATGTAACTTGTAACTGTTCGTGGAACTGACTGGGCCTTAAAGACAAAGCTATAGCTATAAGATTAGCTGACCTAATGGTTTTTGCTCAGAGTTCAGCCTTGATGATAAAAACTGGATTCAACTGCCTGGCACACCCAGCAGATTCCAGGAAAGCACGTCTCAAATAAGCATAGTCAGAGAAATCTAAAGGGGTTGGATTTAGGCGGAGTAATGTTCATTTCAAACCTGAAGATGTTACATTGTAATTTGCTTATTGGATAAACCCGAGTCTGGGTAGTAACCTTTTATAATAATTTTTAACACCCTTTAATCCCATAGGGTAACAGCTATAGGGCAAGATTGTGAGTGGCTCTAAAGCCACCAGATTAGCATAAAACTAAGTATAAAAAGCGCGTGTGTCAGGTGACCAGCAGGAAGGAGGGAACAGAACGGTCACTGCTGTTCCACGCCCGGACCCCGGCATCCCAGTGTGAGTGAGGATCAGATCCTGATCAAGGGATCTTCCCCGGTAATCCCTCCGACTGCAATGATCGGGGATGCCTGACTTCGCTGGAATCACCTGGCGCGCACCTGGCATGGAGGGACTATTGATAAATTGCCAACCCATGTCTGTCTATCTTTTGTTTTAAACAGCCCAGTGGCTGATACCCTTGCAGTGCCCAGCTGGCCTGCGACAGATTGATCTTTTTATCTGTTGTTATTATTTACTATTAGCTCTTCAATACTGCATTACCTGCTTATTGCATTTATCTTTCTGTTAACTGTTGTGTGTGTGTAAGCTATAATAAATTTGCCATTGCTTCACTCTCAACTCTGCCTCCTCGATCCCGAACCAAACAGCCCAGGGGCTGATACAGTTGCAGCACCCAGTCAGCCTGCAACTAAACTGATACACTCACAGTGCCCAGCTGTCCTGTGACAAAATTGGCGTCACGAACAGGATTGAGGATGGAGAGTTCGGAGGGGAAGAATGGTGCAGAGGGGGCAGAAGCGTGGACCCCGCTGATTGCTTTAATAGAAGAGGTTATGGGTATTAAGAATCCGGGGTGGGATAAAGAGAGGTTGAGACCCGCCTGGAGCGATCCCACCACAGTACCCTGTCAGTGGGCTGTGTTCACTGCTGTGCAGAAGGGCAGACCTAAGAAAGGATGCCTGTCCTGGCTGCTGGTAACCTGCCTAAGACTGGGAGCAGAGGAAGCCACTCAGCTCCATCAAGAGAACCAATCCGTAAAAGACCAAGTAACCCAGTTTGAGAGGGAATTAAGGGAAGAAAAGAATTTTAACAGCGTGGAGTGCAAGGCTGCGCGATGAGTCCTTGACCAATTAGTGGCAAGGGACAGAGCCAACAAAAGCCACCTCCCTCCCTTCCTAGCTGGCTTGGAATCCTGCTCCTCCTGGCTGTGCACTGTCCTACCTCTAGGCACAGCCAACAGAACTGCAAGGACAAATGAGCAGCATGTATTTACATCAATGAACTAAAAAACAGGACTTTTTGTAGGCCATTCCTCATTCAGAAACAGACAGGGGACAAAGGGTTTAAAAACAGGCCAGTCCAGTATAAACAGGACCAATGGCTACCCTACCCATAGGTTAGACCATCACAGAAGCTCAGCCTGTAAAGCATGAGCATCACCTGGGCTAAGTACAGACAGTCAAAAAGCCCAAGGCTGAATCAATTCAGTCTTTGTAGGTTAGTCTAAGCTGCAGACATTGAATCAGCAAGCAAGCAAACAGACTTTCACTTTTGACTCAGGAAATGCAAGCACATGTCTGCCGTGGCTCAAGCCAGAAGTCGGGGGATACTAGAGCACACCTTGCAGCCTGCCAGCTCCAAGGCTTTTCCCCCTTCCCTGCTAGAGTGGAGGGGTGGGGGGGCCAAGCCTCTGCCCAGAGCTAGCTGGAGGGTCTGTAGAGGGAAGGGTGCAGTGCCTGCCAGGCTAAAGAGGGGGTGGGTAGGGAAAAAGGCAGTGGCATTGAATTCATAAAAGCTTGAACAAGAATAGTCCTCTCTCAGAAGGGAGCATGCATTGAACAGAAAAGAACAACCCTGTGGAATCTTGCTGGCTGTGATCATGGACTACAAATCTCAGAGGCACCTGGAAGCAGGAAGAAAAAGTGATGAACAACCCTGCAGAGTCCTGCTGCTGTGGGTCTGGACTGCAAATCCCAGAAACCTCAGGGGCAGCAGGAAGAGGAAGTGAACACGCAGCCTATGCTAGGATGCTGGGGGACTGATTTAACTTGAACCAGGAAGGGGTCTGGGACAGAAGTTTCATAAACCAGTTTGACACAAATCAGTTACGTCTGATACTACATTCAACCAGGTTTACCTTAAACCAGTTTCAGCCATTT